TCAGGTGTTTCCAGTCGCATTGGCACAGGTGTATAAAGTCAAGCCATGCATGCAGTAATGGAGTCTGCCTTTGCAAACATTTGTGAAAGAATATATGGTTCTAAGGAGCTTGTTGAATTTGAGTACGATGCTGTAAGACGAGCCCACCATCGCTCAGCTGTAAGTGGTATTGCAAAGTGGAAGCATTTAGGGTCCACAGCTGGGTTCACCGAGTGCAGAGGTGTACAGTCGTCAACACTTTAAAAAGTCATTAACAGTTTGCTGACTGAAGTCCAAGCTCAAAACCACCGGCATTAACAACAGCACAAATATGTGCACTGAAAGCTTTGTGACTGGGCTGCGATAGCTAAGCAGCTTTTGCAGGTGGTAACAGTCATACTGGCCTTTTGGACTTAAAAGTGACACAGCTAGTACCATGTGCACCATCTTTTGATGTCAGAATAGCTTTAATTCCTTGTGGCATATTTTGAAGAAGGCAGTGGATAGAAGGTAGATTTACACTTCCATGTTTTTATACCAAATTCTGACCCTACCATCCGAATGTCACGGCAGAAATTCAGACTCATTAGATCAGGTAACGTTTTCACAATCCTCTGTGATCTAGTTTGGTGAGCCTGTGTGAACTGTAGTTTCCTGTTCTTAGCTGACAGGACTGGTCTCCTGCTGCTTTAATCCTTCTGCACCAAAGGTTTGACATGTTGTGCGTTCAGAGATTCTCTTCTCTGATACCTTAGTTGTAATAATTGGTTATTTGAATTACATTTACAGCACTTTTTGTACATCTTTTTGTAAATTATCCTACTCAACATGTCTTTGAATCTGAATGTGTTATTTTTAATAACTGTACAGCACTCTAAATTTGCCCCATACACTCTTATTTATTGTTTTTTATGTTATATTCGTTACGTTTGTGTGAATCTGTATGCTGCACATGGCTATCACTTTGCTCCTGGAACACATAAAGGTTATTTCCATTCTATTCCATTAACTCAAAGCAATCTGGCGATTCTGCTCTGACAACAAGAAGATATTTTAAACAAGACAACTGTTGCTCACTGGATATTTTTCTTTTTTTGATCATTCTTTGTAAACCATGCAGATGGTTGTGTGGGCAAATCCCAGTAGATCAGCAGTGTCTGAAATACTCCGACCAGCCCATCTGGCACCAATAACCAGGCCACGTTCACAGTTGCTTGAATCACCTTTCTTCCCCATTCTGATGCTCAGTTTAAACTTCAGCAGGTTGTCTTGACTACATGGCTTAATGCAGTGAGGTGCTTCCAGGTTATTGGCTGGTTTGATATTTGCATTAACAAGCAGTTGAACGATGCTAACCAACCACACTCCATCCATAAATATATGGGTGTATTATTTAGCACATTCTGTTAATTAGCGCTAAGCTACAGGCTAATAAAATACTGTAATTTCTCTCACCACATCTGAAGCACAAGCTTCTTGGATGAGCTGTATCATGTCATTTGCCAGATAATTACATTACATTGCAAACTCTCCAACAGCAGAAACACAGTGGAACTGAATTAGCAAAGATGAGGCCAGGCAGATAGCTACAAGCTACAGCTACGTGTGTTGGGACACTTATCAATTAAAGAAGCCATATTCATAAATTTAGTTAAATCTTACGTCTTTGCAGTGTCCGCATGGATGAGAAAAGATAAAATGACAAAGCAAAACAAATCCAAAATCACAAAACCTCAGAAAACAAGTATTTTCTTCTCTTTTTACCGTTGCTGCAAATCTCAGGGCTTTGGTACATTTGATTGGGAGATTCTTCACATGGAGTGAGACTCTGTGCAGAGTTGTGTGTGTTGTGGCTGTTGGGCAACTTTGGAGGCGAGCTCCAGGCTGCTCATCCGAACTCTGCTTCCTCATAAAAGAAAAGTTGCACAGAAACCACAAGCAAACTTTAAAAAATATGTTTTGGTTGGTAAACAGTGGGCTCATTGGTGCCACGGGGCTGGTGATATGCCTGGAAAATGCTTTTGGCTGGGACGAGTTTTGCAAGTATGACATCTAAATTATAATCTTGTGTCTCTAAAGGGGCTCAGGGGCGAGCGTGGAGCAGATGGTTTTCCTGGCAAGCCTGGACCCAAGGTGACGTGATTAACCTCACCCAGAAATACACTGAGCTTGTGCTTGTTGTGTTATTTATTCAGAAAACCGCCATGTTAACAAGTGCGTTTTCTCTGCAGGGCGACGAAGGGCCTCCTGGACCAAGAGGACCTCCAGGGGAGAGAGTGAGCTCACAGTTGCCTTCGTTTTTGTTTATTTGGCATTTGGATTTTATGGGATACATTTTATTTTGGCATATTTTTTGAAATGTTTAATTTTTTTTCCAGGGGGAAGCTGGTGCTCCTGGACAGCTAGGTACTGCTGGAGCACGAGGTGACCGAGGCGTGCCGGTAAGCTTCTCAAAGCTTTCACAGTCATTCACAGCTATATCTCTGATTTACTTCTGCAAACAAGGGGCACTGTCCTTACCTCACTTTTGTACATTATGTAACCATTTCTATTAAAGTCAGCTCCAGTAAAATGAATGTCCCTAATTGGACTGGGTGACCTCCTGGGAACCCTTGGGGCCCGTTGGTTGTTCCCAGATGCCATTTTGAGACCGACTGACTTTCCAATTATAAAGTTCTTACTTCCCTGTATTAATATGCATTAATATGCCCTATGACAGCTGGGATAGGCTCCAGCGCCCTCCGCGACCCTGAAAAGGATAAGCGGAAGCGAATGGATGGATGAATATCTGAGATCTGTTTTAAAAAATGAATATTTTGTTTTCCATAGGGAGAGAGAGGACAGACAGGACCAGTTGGGCCAAAAGGTGAAAAAGGCGACAAGGTAAAAAACAAAAATCCGGAACCACTTTTATATTTTGGACACCTTAATAAAGTGAAGGAATAGGAGGAACGCTGCTGCATTTGTCTCACTAATGGTCGTCCTGCAGTATTAGCTGTAATAAGGTAATTAGCATCCAGACTCTGAACATATTGTCTCCTGCCTCAGGGTGAAGTGGGAGCTATGGGACCGCCGGGCATTCCGGGAAATGTGAGTAATATTTCTGCTGTTTGTGTGCGCATTAACTGTAATAGAGTGCAGATGTGGTGACATGTCACCTGCTTTCTTCTTCACAGGTTGCAAACGTCATTCCTGAGCCTGGTGAACCTGTGAGTACGCTTCTTCTATTTCACAAACTCCAGAATCAAATCCGTGAAGAATGGCTGTTTTTTTGTTTCTTTCTTTCAATTTGCTTGATTTAAAATAAATAAATAAACATGTTTACATATTATATACCACCGATCAGACAGAACATTCGACACCTGACAGGTGAGGCAGATAACACTGATTATCTCTTCATCGTGGCTTCTATTAGTGGGTGGGATACATTAGGAACCAAGTGAACATTTTAGAAAAAGGGAAAATGGGCAAGTGTAAGGATTTGAGCGAGTGTGACGAGGGCCAGATTATGACGACTGTGTCAGAGCGTCTCCATAACTGCAGCTCTTGTGGGGTGTTCCTGGTCTGCAGTGGTCAGTGTCTATCAAATGTGGTTCAAGGAAGGAACAGTGGTGAAGCAGTGACAGGGCCATGGACTGTCCTGTTTGTTGCCACAAAGCAAAACTGGTTTAGGAATGGTTCCAGGAGCACAACAATGACTTTGAAGCATCGACTTGACCTTCAAATTCCCCAGAACTCAGTTCAGCCGAGCATCTGTTGGATGTCCTGGATAAATAAGGCTGATTCATGGAGATGCTACCTCACAACTTACACAACTTAAAGTATTTGTTGGTGACATCTTGGTAACAAATACCTCATCACACCTTCAGCACATGTTCAGGGGTCTAGTAGAGTCCATGCCTCAGCGAGGTCTGTTTTGGCAGAAAAAAGGGGGGAAAGACACAACATTAGGCAGGTGGTCATAATGCCTGATCAGTATAAACACTGTTCTTACTCTTCTCATCTTCTGCATTTTTGCCATTTATTTCATTGCTTGTTTTTACCTTAAGGGGAGACCTGGAGAGAAAGGAGAGAAAGGGGAACAAGGGAAACCAGGAGAGATGGTGAGTTTAGTTTTCACTTCCTCTTTTTACATAACCAAGCTTCAACCAGCAATACGCTCAGGATCCCACTAGGTGCCAGTAGAGATTTGACGTTGCTGCAGCGAGGATGTCCTGTTACAGTGAGAGAGCTCCCGAGACTTCTCTTAATTGGCTAAGTAAATTAAATATTTGACACTGTCATGCAGTGCCCTGAATCTCTGTTCTCTCTGCTTTGCTGATATATTGTATATTAGGTGCAGCAGAACAGAGTGCACTGGTATATTTAGCATTAAATAGGCAACATGAATTATGTGCTGGAATTAACAGACTCATATTCTTAAGGCAGCATATGACAGTAAGTCTTAAGTCTTCATCTAGGATCATCACTATTCTTCATTCGTTTTTAGAGTAGCCCTTTTAACGCTTTAAGAGAAATGTTTTAATATATTTTTAAATTAATGCATCTTCTCTGTAGGGTCCAAGAGGACTACCTGGTGAGCAAGGTTTTAAGGGACCACCTGGACTACCGGTACAAAGCTTGTTATCTCCTCACTCGTTTTAAGCTACAGTCATTCCGACTGGAATATCTCTGATTAGCTGCTTTGCTTCCAGGGCCCAAAGGGTGAGACTGGACTCACTGGAGAGACCGGGCGTGTTGGAGACCCAGTAAGTAGTTCCATCTAACAGGATTCACTTTTTAACACCAAGCGCTACGTTTTCTGTATGATAGAGGATGACGATGACCTCTGTGTTTCTACCAGGGTCCACCTGGCGTAGCTGGCCTTCAGGGTCCCCGTGGACTACCAGGAAGTGTGGTTAGTCTTTTCTTTTTGATCATTTATGTCTGTTGCAAGTGCTTCCTATGACTTTACACTACACATTATTAAATTAAGCTAAGAATTATCTTTATGTTTTAGGGCATACCGGGAATTATTGGGCCTCCAGGTCCAGCTGGACAAAGAGGAGACAAGGTCAGTCACTTATGTTTAAAATCCATGAGTGTATTTGGTGGGTGTGATTTGACAGGATCAGGACTTTGCTGAGACTGGTATTGGCAGAGAAACAGACTGCTGAGAAAAAGAGTGACCTTGTATGTCCTCCATCATTGTTTCAGTTTGTGAATTCATTTGAATCCTGCTGCAGCAGCTACATGTAGGAGTAGCAATTCAGAGCTCTTTGTACTCTCTCTGCAGTTTTAATATGCAGGACAAGGTGTATAATAATTATAAGACTGAGATTTAAAATAATAAATGATCATACATAGAATTGAATTTGACCTCTTTCAGAATCCAGAGCAACAGAAAAAAAAAGTATCTGAGGCATCTGCTTTGCTGACTTGAGAGACAAAAGCAGAATCTTTTTATTCCATTATTTATTTTAGGGGGAACCTGGAAAACCAGGACAACAAGGTCTCGCAGGACCACATGGAGAGCCTGGTTTGCCTGGACCTCCTGGACTACCAGGGAAGGGGAAAGATGGACAAAATGTAAGGCACAGCTATGTTATTTACTGAATGTTTACCGTAGTTCATCCTACAAATATAATGATATTTAAAGTCATTTAATACAATATCATATTATAGGACAGTGCCACAATTATGATTAGAATAGATCAACTTGTCTGGATTTCAGCCCTTCTGTATCACATTAAGATTTTTTCATCTCCATCACCATGGCAGCTGTATCCATCTCTTATACTGTCAAAGGCTACACCATGGAGCCAGCTAACACAAGTTAGAAAGAGGACAAACAAAAACAAAAAACACCTAAAATTAGAGCACAGGCTCTGTGTAAGGGCTTTATTACATAGCATCCATAATATTTTTCCAATAATTCAAATGAAATGGTCAGAAGACACAAACACAGACAAGAGGTGTAGCCGACTGCTACTGGCTACACCTCTAAAGACGTGCATGACTGGCTTGTAAACAAGTTTTCAAGGCTGAAGTTGGTATTTGAACGTTGGAGGCTGACTCACTTTTGCAGCCAACCTCAAGTGGCCTTTAGAAGAACTGCAGTTTTAAGGAATTTTGCATAGAATTTTTATTCATTTTTCCTATTTGTTATTCCTAAGCAGTTTACCTTCAGCTGCTTTAAAGTCTGGGAGAATTATCCTGGTGAACACTGCCAAACCATATTATTTTCTCTTTTTATTTGACACTTGGCAAATCTTATGAAGTCTATCTGCATTTTAACAACAGAAATGTATGCTTATCGAGGTTAGGATTACCTCTCCCGTGTGACTGTGCCTCAGAACAGTCTTTTGTATTTCCACATGTGTTCTGCTTGTAAACATCTCCTTGCCTGTTGAACCGCAGCGTAATATGAGCACTTGTATGAGGCAGAAAACAAGCCTGAGTAGGCACATTTTGTGCTGGAGCTCAACACGTGTCTTCATCATTTTTCACCGTGATCCAAACATGTGGCCGTCTTGCTGACGGGGCAGAGCAAACAGGAAGGACATTGTTAAGACATATAACATTAAAACAGCAGAGGGGCACAACGGATTTGCCTCACAGCAGTTTTCACTCCCCCTTTTTTTCTTTTTACTTCTTTTACAGCTGCCAGGTGCGGCCCTGAGGCCTCGATACAGTCACGTGCATGAAGAATAGGAGCTCTTTGTGGACCATAAATGATTTATTCAAAGATGTTTAATTGCAATATTTTGGTTAATAACCAATTTTATTTGTGGTATTACAGGGAGACCCGGGGCCACAGGGAATCCAAGGACCCCCAGGGCTGAAGGTAATGTCATTTCAGAAGTTTGTAAGAGTTTTCTAGGTCTCCTCAGCTGCTCCGGTTTATCATGCACAGGTGCTCTTTTGTTGATGTGGAAAAACGTCCTTTTTTTTAGTTGTTGTTGCCCGAATGAGGAAAAAAACAATTCATCTTTGTAGAAAGCAACAAAAGCAATTCCCGTGTCCACTGCTCTGTGACCGTCGCTCTGATTATGACTGCCTCTTTGTTGTGAAGAGCTTGATGTGAAAGTTTCAGCACGCGTGAGGCTGGGAAGGGGCATTTGGTGGATTTATGGTGTCAAACTGCTCACCCTCATCACCGAGACGTTTTCTCTTCTGACTACAGAAATGTCTTAGATTGTATTTGTTTTATTCATTTTTCCCCCAGTCACTCAGAAAAAAGTTGTATTTCTGGGTTTGGCAATCATTGCTGAATGCAGTGCGCCAGAACCTTAGCTAAACATACTGGCAGCTGGAGGGTGAAATAAATTTAGCTTTTTCTTTTCGTCCCAGGGTCAACCAGGGTCAAGAGGAGAACCTGGGTTACCAGGGGACAGGGGTCCTGCAGGAGAAGGCAAAGTAGGACAAACGGTACGTACACCACGCCACAGTCATCCTTTTGACCTTCAGATCACTGGTAACCCGTCTAAGTTAGCGACAGAGTGTTGTTAATGCCCATCGTATTTTTGTTTAATTTCTTTTCTCTGCTTGCAAGCACCAAAGATAAACTCTAATGCCAAAATATGTAACACTTTACTGGAAATGTAACATCTCATCGTCTAGATCCTGAAGATTTACAATGTTGCTTTAACGTTAGCCACAAACTTCACCATGACTCTTGTTTACAGGGACCTCCAGGACAAACTGGACCATCTGGACCTGTGGTGAATATTTACTGAAGCATTTTTTAAATAACTCCATGCTAGTATTGTATCGTCTTTAACGTGCATTTCTGGGTTTAAGGGTTTGAGGGGTCCACCAGGTGTCGCTGGTCCTCAAGGCCCAGCAGGTCACAATGTAAGTCCAACACTGAAATATTTACTCATAAATAAGTTCATTTATGCTTCACTTGTCTTGACTTGTATAACTCTCTGCAGTGAACCACAGTTTTGGTGGATGCTGATGCATGCCTGTGATCTTCAGCTGATAGAAAATGTAATGTGTGGCTTTTTCTCCAAATGTAGGGTCTGCCAGGAAGGCCAGGAGAAAAGGGCTCACCAGGAGAGCCTGTAAGTACACACAGCGAGAGAACACCAGGCTACATCAGAGCTTCTGTTTCTCCAGCTGTTTGCTTAGTTTTAGTGCATGCATTAAATATAAAGCGGGATATGAGAACACTTTGTCCTGTCACTATCACTAGGATCATGTGAGTTATCAGAGCAATTTTTGTTGGTCGCAGCTTTTTTTCATGAAAAGGTTCTAAAAAGGCCTAAGCTTAGCAGCTAAATATGTTTCTCAGACTTTAACATGAAACAAAATAGACATAAAATGAGAGCAATATTGGAGAGAGACTAAATTACTACTCAGATTGCTGTTTGAGCATGCTCGGGAGTTTGGAAAACTACATGCAGTGTCCTTTGGGCTTTTCTATGGGGGTTTCAAAGTAAGTACAAAGCATCAGGCCTGTTGCTCGTCGGTCTAAAACCTTGGTTTGCATCCAGCTCTTGTTTGATGGCCACACGCTGACTGCAGTGACTGATTGTGGGGGTGTCACCGAGCTTCCTCTGAAGGTTTTTCAGGTGTAGCTGTACAGCAAGGATGAGGGAACTTAGTCATTGAGGAGGGGCTCAGAGTAGTTTGGGTGGTTTGGGCATCTTATGTGTCCTCTCTGCCTTGACGTCACCTCAGTATCTTACCAGAAGACCTGGAGGCCATGACCTGGGCTCCTCTGCTTAGACTGCAACCCCCACGACCTGGACCCAAATAACTGTCAGGAAACAGATGCACGGCTGAATGGATGCTGCTTTGTGTTTCCTGAATGATCAGTTGCTAACATGTTCATTCTACCAACTTTATAAGGCTACATTTTATTCTTGTTAAAGATTAAAGTCAACCTTAGAGTCTCAGTAATGTAAATGGTCAGCTTCTGGCTGCAGCTCGGGGAAATGGGAATAAAACTCTGGAATCTAGTTTTAAAGTTGAGGTTGGAAATCTTGAGAGTCCACTAGAACGCAGCATTCATTTTGGAGCAAGATGTTTATATTCTATATATATGTGATACTTTTTTTGGACACAATTTTGGCTTGTGCACAGATCCCTTGATGTTACTTTGTTTCCATTAACTCATTTATTTTCTGTCTCCCAGGGAAAAGCCCCAGACTTTGACCCAAAGGTAAGACGCCATTATTTGATATGATTTGATATGTGGATCATTTGATGACAGCGTGTCTGTGCCATCTTTAGGAGTTTTGCTCAGACTGCCCTGCAGGACCACCGGGACCACCTGGACTCCCAGGAATCCCAGGAGATAAAGGACAACAGGGACCTGCTGGGAAAAATGGAGAAGATGGATACCAAGTGGGTCAAAGTTATTAACATGTCATAATTAAAGTGAATGACCTCACTTCACTTCTCTTGCCTAAAGTCTATTATAATGTAAAAGCATGTATTTAAGCACATTTTATAAAGTGTGTGTTTGCTGCCCTGTGTGAGTCATGAGGTCTGAGCCTCGCCATCCGTCACCTGCTGTGACGGATGGCGAGGCTCTGTCTGCATCATTAGCTCGGCCTCCTCTGGGGGGTAGCGGTGAGCGATTAGCAACCAGCGACGGTGCTCGCCACTGTTGGCTCGGACAGAGACTGATGGTCTGCTGTGTCACTGCAGGGCCCGCCAGGACTAGCCGGACCTCCAGGGGCCCCCGGAGCCGATGGAGGAAAGGCATGTGTGCTCACTTACTGCCAAACTTGTTAGCTGCTTCAATCAGTTTTGTTTTGTTTTTTTACATCATTCAGATGTTAGGGAGATATTTTTAACTTTATTTTCTCAAGCCTAACGTTTTTCCAACCAAATGCTTTTCTCTTTTTGTCACCACAGGGTGTAAAAGGTGATCGAGGACCTGCTGGAAACCCCGGAGACAAAGGGGACAAGGTGTGTTTTTCCACTGTGACATTTCCAACCTTCCTCTCGCTGTGTTTGAAGAAACATCCAATGCAAAGTCTTCAGCTCGATTTTAATGACCATTATCTGTTTAATAGGGTCACCCGGGGCCTCCTGGTCATCCAGGTCCTCCTGGATTAATGGGTACACCTGTAAGTCGATGTTTCAGCCTTGTTTACAACATTGTCAGAATACGTGAAAAGTGAATATTGACCTCCACTGACATCGTCTCTTCCTCTTCAGGGTAACGATGGGTTGCCTGGGCCTGCGGGCCCCCCAGGACCCCCTGGAGAAAAGGTCGGTTAGCACCCTGTGTACTTTCTGCTCAGAGAGCCCATTACCCATGTGTCATTATTGTACAACCCGCTTCCCTCTAGCGTGTAGGTCACCGTCCTGTGCCGTAATAATGGCTATTAATCATTTCTTTTTTGTTGGTGACCCGTTTTTGTGTTTGTTTTCACCAGGGCAAAGAGGGTCTCAAAGGAATCCAGGGACCACCAGGGCTTCCTGGCTTGATAGTAAGAAAAATCATTAGAACGTAAAGCATCATGAATATGCAGTTCCTGCTGGATGCTGTGATTATTTTAGGCAACAATATAAAACCATAAGTGGGCCTTTGGGTCTTTGGCGCTGCAGACCTTAAATAATTGTTTTCCTTTATCACAGGGGCAGCCTGGCAAAATGGGAAAAGATGGCAGACCAGGTGAACCAGGAGAACCTGTAAGTTGATGGAAATGACCCACAGAGCATAAAAAGTTTGAACACTAACTGGAAGATATTGTCTGTATTTATTTATACACATTTGCTCACTCAAGGCGTTTCCTTTCAGGGCAAACAAGGTGAAACTGGACCCCCAGGAAACTCAGGGCTCAGGGGACTCCCTGTAAGTAGCCAGCAGTAGATCTGATAGAAGAACCTGGTGATATGCAAATTGCTGTGACTGATTCGCTGCACCTTCTCTTTCTAACCAGGGCTTCAAAGGCCACAGAGGAGAACCTGGAGCTCCAGGAACTAAGGTTGGTTTGCTTTTAATGTATTTGAGCAGAGAGGTGCGCTGTTAAACAAGAATAATATGTTAGAGACATTACAGGAGAAAGAGAAGGAGTTATAGGTCAGTGTTAATGAATGGTCAGGTACAAAGACTCAAATCATAATGATTAAAACGCAGCCAATGACCAAAGGAAAACTTCAAAATACCAGTTTAAAGACATCTGGCTTTTGAGAGCAACATATAGAGACATGATGGATAATTCTGAAGACATTTTTCATTTTCTCTATACCTGTTTATTATCTTTTCCACTTAACTGAATAACTGACACATGAAACGTAAGGAAGTTGATAACCACCGTTGCAATACTGTCGCCTACTGAGGCTTTAAGGTTTCTTTCAGCCAGTTACCACAAAGAAACGCTGGCTATCTTGAGCTTGCCTGGTAGTCTAACCCTCAGTTTAACTAAAACATAGCTATTTTTCCTTTATCATGCAGTATCAGACTCCTAAAGCAAAGTAAAATAACCCACCGCATTACAGACTATATCAACTATTGTAATGCCACGACTAAAGAATACTGAGAGATTCCAGCAACAAGACGTTGCGCATAAACAGCTGACCTTAAAAATGCGAGCTAAAACCATTTTGAGATTCTGGCAGTGCAAAAAAGCAGAAAATCTGCACCAGTGCAGTTTTATTTATGTTTTGTGACAGCATTTTTTTTCCTGAAGAGGTGTGCAGTTTCCCAGACAGCGTGATGGGTCCTGAAACAACTACCCAAAATAATCTTGGTGTCTGTGCAGACTTGCTGCATTCATGTTACCCTCAAGAAAAACCAAGTAAAACATGCAAATATAATCAGTGACGGTGCGACAAAGGACAACAAATGTAGCCGCGAGTGTCGTCGTTGGTGGCTTTGAAAACTGCCGCACCGTCACTTTCTCAACTGCTCACAAACGCATGCAGTGTGAAACTGGCGAGGAGTGTTACTTAGTTACTCAACAGCCTTACTCACAGCAGGGGTGCAGGGTATAGCACACAGCCACGTTCGCTGTTTAGCTCGCCGCACTGCACCGTCACCTCATATCTGACACCAGCCCAGAGGCTCACCTTTGTTTTTTGAACTCATCGCACCTGCTGCTTTCTTCTGGATTCTGTCAAAGCCCCGTGACCAATAGCATGGCTCATTACAGACAAGTCTGAGTGAGTCACAGCGAGGCAGGCAGCCTCCTCGCCCTGCAGCCACTCTGCAGACAGCTTATTAGAGGAATTGTTGCCGTAGACACGAGACTTACCCTTCATTATCACCTCCATGTAAATTAAACTCAATCTTAAAATTGAAAGTAGATTTTACAAGTGCAGAATGTCTCAGCGTAGTCTGGAAGCATCATATAGATTCTTACAGGAAGCTCTCTGGTCTGCAGTGTTGTGTTATTCTTATAAGCAGCAAAGGTTACATTATGAGTCATCGTAATGTAACCTTCATATTCTCTCTTTGTTTAGTTGATGTTTTTTGTTATGTGGCACAGGGAGAAGATGGAAAGCCGGGATCACCTGGACGTGACGGTAAAGCTGGGAAAGAGGTATGTGGAGGGTTTTTATCAAATTTCGCTTCCTTCCTTTCTACTTTAAGTGCTTAATGCATTTTTTAGAGAAGTACTCAGGCTAAGGTTTATCACACAGCTGCCCTAAACTAACAGTAGTGGGAATTAGCAACCAGTATGTGCAGTTTTTTAACTTTAACATTATCGTTTATGAGTTTTCTAGAAATTTTCAAATGTACTGTTTTACAAAAAAAACCCCAAAATATTATTATTATTTGACGAAACTGCCAATAATTTGCCAATTAATTTACTTGCATTCCTAAACTGAACATTTTTTAGTGAATGAATGTTATGCTTGATTAATTTCTGAGTGCTGACTCAAACTCAGGTGTAAAGATGTAAATTCAGTTACTCTCCTAATAAATAACTGTCACACAGCTGTGTGGCAGGTCGTGTGGGACACGGTTGCAGAAATCAGAGACAAAGAATAAACTAAAAGACAGTTGTATTGCTGTCCTAAAGCTCAATAATTCACAAACTCAAACAAAGAAGAAGCTGCGAAAACGTGGAACTCGAGGAAGACGCTGCGAGAGGAGAGGACGTGACAAAGGGTAGTGGAGGACAGACACAGTAAATACACAGGAAGGTAATTAAGAAAGCGGAGACAGCTGAACAAGAACAAATCAGGAATAACAAGACAGGGGAAGCAAAACTGAACACAACACACAAGCATGAAAAGGAAAACACAGTGATTCCAGAAAAATCAAAACCCAGAGATCATGACAATAACAATATAAACACGTTTGACAGATTTCTTCTTGTTTTTATGACGCTCTCATTCATTTATTAAGCACTGTACATATATACAGAAAGGGGCACCACAAGGAAAAATGCAGCTTTTATTATATTCAGTTTTCAGCCCTTATGGCGCACTGAGGAACAGACAATACATTTAAAGGAAATAAATGTACACATGAAAAAACCCCAAATAAACCCTGATAATGCCTCGACTGCAGCTCTCTGATATCCCCCCTGCTGTAAACATTTGTCACCCCCTTCAAAATCCTCCAGCACGTTCTGTCTCAGTCGCTGAGCTCTTGACTGTGATCATTAATGTTGTCTGGAAGCAGATGTATTGATTGAGGGAATGCAGATAATAAAAAAGTTTCTTCCTGGCACACCATCACCGGCATCTTTAATCATGTCTTTTATAACGACTGCGGCCAAGTCGTGGCAGTGCCGTTTTTATCTTTTGACACTGTGTGAGAGTTGTTTTGGTTTTTTTGGGGGGTTTTTTCTCTCTTCGTCAAAGTGAAAACTCGCACATACACTCAGAAACTGCAGGATTGTTATGCCCCCATTTTTCTTGTGGCACGGTGTGCAGTAGCACTTCACAAAAACCTCTTTCACCAAGCTGATCCTCTGGCTGTGAGGCAATGAGACAGAATGTTCTCACAGCTCACGTCTCCTGAAGTAAGAATATATTTTTCACCTACAACAACAACAATTCCCATTTAACAGCCTCCTACAGGAGAGGCTGCGGTCCAGTAAGGCAATGCTACGTAAGGAGATCAAATGAGCCCTTTGCATGTTTCTTTCACTATTGAGCAACACAGTCGACTGAGTGCAGCTCAAACTGCCAGGTCACAAATGAATGACCTGATGCTACACGTGATGCTACTTGAATCTGGAAAGCATGCTCCAGTGTAAGAACTGGTGTTTACACCTGCGGTTCTTTGGCTACAACGTGGCGATGCAGCGTGGTTTTTCCCATCAAATGCAGGCTCTGCAGGCGGATGCTAAAAGAGGCTGAGGAAGCTTTTCACTAAATGAATTCTGAGCTTGCTTTATTATAAACCGCTCTGCATAAATCAGAGGCCTGTAACGGCCGACTTGTCCAACAGGCAAGAAAACGGCAACAATATTTCTGTGAGCAGTAGATACTGTCGTGTCCACACTGTATTTCAGAATGTGATTAATCTCCACTCTCTGCTCAGATTCAGGCAAATGCTGCACAAAGTAATTTTACAAAGCTTCGTAATGTATTGACCCGTACTGCTAAAGCAACACAAGAGTTTCTCAAAGTCAGTCATCTGATCTCAACCCAACAAAGCAACTGAAGGCAAAAGACCCAGAAATGGGCAACAACTGAATGTGGCTGTAGTAAAGTCCTGGCAGAGCATCTCAAAAAACGAAATCCAGCGTTTGTTGATGTCCGTGTGTTATAGAGGAGCCAGTGACACCTTATAGAATGGACCTAAATCTCTGGCACTGTTCACCTTTGATTACTCACTTGCGCTGATATTAACTGCTTTAGCGACGTTGGGGACCAATCAGAGCTTTTAAAAAAAAAATTGGTATAAACAGCTGTAAATTGTAAATGTTAAACAGCTGAAGAAAATAAAATACATACAGTATATAATACGAGCAATAAAAGAAATAAGTATCTTCATCTTTCCGCCAGTACACATTTACTGTAGTGATGAAAAGATGCCGCTCACTCCAGAACGGAGGGTTTTGCACTGATGCTAATATTTAGCATCTGGCCCCCATTTTGGCCTAAAGATGCGATAAAATTCATTCAACCAGTTTGAATGCAGGGTACTAATGCTGTCTTCTTACAGGGTCTTCGGGGACCTCCAGGGCCAGAAGGACTTTTAGGCCCAAGAGGAGAGCCGGTGAGTCATTTTCAGTCACTGGCATGGCTGTCTGATGCAGAGAAGAGACAGCACGGTGTCACGCTGACAGATAGGGACATAAAGTGGCACTCAAGCTGTTTCTCTCACTGCCCTTCCTCATCAGTTTTTTTCCATTATATCTTTTTTTCTTCTTCTTGTTTTTTTAACTTGTATCCCAGGGCAAGCCGGGTGAACCGGGACCGTCAGGAAAATCAGGTCTCCCCGGAACACCGGTGAGTTTCCTCTTCCTGTTCTGCAAAATCTTTGCATTCAGTTTTACTGTTTTTTCACCTTTGATGTAAGAAGCACGTATTCCTGATTTAACTCTGTGACAAGCACCCAGAGAATGAATGAGCTGAAGCAGTATTTTCAGTGATAGCAGAACAGGCGTACATGAAACTGAAGGCAAGAGGAGACTTTTTGAAGAAATGAGCCGTCAGATTTTGATGGAACATCAATGTTGCTCTGACTGGGGAGGGAACATCACTTTCCCCTGAGTGAGGAAGGGAGTTGGCCGGGTTGCTGCTAGTTGGAGAAAAGAAACCCTCAAAGTCAAATGAATCAGGTGATCGTCATTTTCTAGAAGACTCATCTAGTAATTGTGTTTTGACGCGCACCCACAGAGACACGCCTAAGCTGAGTCTCTGGTGACAAAAGGTCTGAATTGTCTGATGATGCAGAATGCAACCAAGGTTATTGGAAGGTTTTGCACAGAGTGCCTGATATCAGGGGAAAAACAACTCTGGCTCACAAGGTTTCCTTCAGGGATGATTTTACAGTGAAAATGTGAGTGTGTGAGGATTTGGAGAAAAGCCAGCAGTGAGAAAGCTATCGGTTAAAGAATTGGTTCACATTTACATTTTGAGTCTGTCAGGAAACAATATTCAAATGAGCACTTGAACGCTAAACAGGTTTCATTTGCTGTAATTATCAGTCCTGTTCAAACTGGCCATTAAATGATCTCTTTCTAAACTGCTTTGAACATAATTGACTGTAATCAGAATCTACATTCAGAGTTCACTTGAAGCAGTTGTGAGGGTTAAGCATCTTACCAAGTGGATATCAGAGTTAAATGAATTCCCTTTGCATATTTTCCTGAACTGTGTTTCCAGGCTCAGTTGCAGCAGAGACTCAGTCTAAGCTTGTCACAGAGTAGCTAAGTAACCTTTATTAGTTGTTTAAGCTTAAAACTTTCATTCTGATTAATCTTAAAAGTAGAGACAGTGTCCGTCATTCCAACCATGTGCAGTGGTGCAGTACACAGTAAAATGAGATGACATCCCTACACGACCATGGTGCTACATATGACATATAACAGACAACCAACACAGGACTGCATAAAGTGCAATGTGCAAAAATTGCAACCCTTCCCCCTCCAAAAAAACAACAACAAAAAAACAAAGGCAGTGCAACACTACATAGAAGACAACGATGTGGACCCAAGACAGTGCAATAGAAATGTGCAAAAAGAACCTTGGTGTATGAAGGTGTGTGTGTATGAGATTGTGCAGCTAAGTGCTCAGGAGTGACAGTTTGGGAGCTGGTTCTGTGAAAGGGAGACCCTTCAGCTTTCAGGCCTGTCCTCTGTGGAACGTGCTCCCAGTTTGGGAGCTGGTTTCACGGAAGAAGGGTCTGAAAGCTGAAGGGTCTCCATCCCATTCTGCTCTTAAATTCTCTAGGAACCAGAAGTAACGCAGGAGTCTGAGAGCAAAGTGCTCTATTATGGTGATATAGCACTATGAGGTCTTAAAGATAAGATGGAGCCTGATTATTCAGGGCCTTGTATGTGACGAGATATTTTTAATTTTAATTTATCACGGAGCCAATGAAGAGAAGTGAGTATGGGAGAAACATGCTCTCTCTTTCTAGTCCCTGTCAGTACTCTCGCTGGAGCATTTTGCATCAACTGAAGGCGTTTCAGCGAGCTCTTAGGGTGAGCTGATAATAATGAATTACAATATTCCATCTTAGAAGTAATGAATACATGAACTAGTTTTCCAGCATCACTCAGACAGGATGTTTCTAATTTTAGAGACGTTGCATGAATGGAAGAAAGCAGTCCTGCATATTTGTTTGATATGTGCATCGAAGGACATATCCTGGCAAAAATGACCCCAAGATTCCTCACAGTGTTACTGGAGATAGATGTAGCCACCATGATGTCCCCCAGTAGTTTCTTGGTGATGGTTTTGTTGCCATAATATGAACAATACTTCTTGCTTTGTAAGAGAAGCCTTGTATGTAGAATCGGTCCCAGCATCTGTCCTTGTTGCTACAGTAACACTAGGAAGAGCAGATGTTGGAGACTGCACTACAACCAAAGTTAATGCAACAGTGTGCAAGTCACCTTCGATGTGGTTACTTAGAAGATGGCGACCAGCCTGCAACAACTCAGTTATTTGCTGTGACCATTATTGTTAGTAAATCTTCACCAATCTGTCTGTGAGTGATTGCAGTCAATCCGAGTCAGAGCAAACCTCCGTGTGCCAAACCTATTCAAACTCCTTGTGACTGAAAGTCATTGCGTAGAGGTTCAATGTGCAATGTGTTCCCAAAAGCGAAACCCAGCCACCAAATTTATGCACAAACACTAGCAAGCTAGTGTTAGCCGATAACCTCTGTTAACCTCTGTGCACTGAACCTCTGAACCTTATAGGCTGCAGACACACAGAGCCACTAACAGTCTGTGCAAAACACAATGAAGGTTCCTCAAAAAGCACCAACTACACAAAGATGTTTCAGAGTTCATTGAGTCAAATTAGCTGAAGTGAAGCCCAATGGACAACCATCAGCATCAGTCAGAGAGACCATTCCTCTAACTCTAAGGCAGCTTTGTAAGTCATATTTCACGTAGAAGTACTCTGCCCTTTTTTATACGTGGGTTTTAAATACACTAAGTAGGACCTGAGAGCCCAAACAGGAGAGAGCATGCTGAGCGTGGTCAGAGGTGAAACGCTGGTGTTAAATTACTCCTTAATATCAGGTGTAATAGTAAATCATCATGATTGATATAAAACACCTCGCAGCAGTGACATTTTTAAATGCCGTATCATTAGTATGATAAACAAACCTTTATTTGAGGGTAAATAAATCCTGTTTATTGTAAAGCAGTGTCACATTATTGGAAATGTCACAGCTAAACGTAGAGTTGGTAACGTCAGAGTACTGAGGAAAAGGCTGAAATATGCAGAGCGTTTGTTTAGTGATTCGTGCTGAAATCAAATCAGCTTATGTGTCGGTATCATGTGCAACGAGAATGTTAATAAGCTGTGGGAAGGAATAGCAGGACCTGTGCACCGACCTGTGGGCTGAAGGATGGTATCTTTGGAGGTGGACTAAATGTTGCTAACTGGAGGGCAGACGATATGCAGGAAGTTATCAGAGGAGTCGATGATATCAGTCAGCAGAGGAAGCAGATCAACAGGAGCAGCCCGGGGGAGGGAAGAGGGCAGCAACCAGAATGCAGAAAGGTTACAGAAGGAGATGGAGAGTGATCTCTGTATCTATGAAGCGCCCTGAGGCGACTTATGTTGTGATTTGGCGCTATATAAATAAAATTGAATTGAATTGAATTGAATTGAATTTCAGTGGATGGCGAAGGAGATGTTCAGAGGAAGAGTCAGATATCGACCAAAATGGTATCAGATGTCAGATTTACCACGCAAAGAAAAGGAAGGGGTGCAGTGAGTGGAGAGGAGCAGAGGTGATAGAGAAGCACATCAAAGATTTAAAATACAGCATGTTTTTAAAGAAAGTGTCGATAAAATGGGCATTAATACGTTTCTCCACTCTGTGGATGCATTAAGCAGCTTGTCTTTGAGCCCACGCGTTGGTTAGAAAATATGCATTTTAATGTTTTCAAGCCACAATATTTATGAAAATTTCATCCAGAGCTCTGCTGCATGCTGAGCAGGAAATGCAGCTAAATCTGCAGTAATGATGCAGCCCTGCTCATCTACAGTGTGCCATGTGACAAACATGTCTCTGCTGTCCTACAGGGTCTCAGGGGAGACAAGGGCGAGCCGGGCAATCCAGGGTTACCAGGCTTCAGTGGACCTAAAGGCCCCTCGGTGACTGCAAGATTATTTATTTATATATTCATGTTTTGATGTAAAGATTAATCGCAGCTCGCAAATACGAGCAGCTGTGGGTAATAATAGCTTTTATTTTGATTTCCAGGGTCCGCCCGGTCCAATTGGCCCAGAAGGAAAACAGGTAAGACTTTCCAAAAGAGAACTGATGACGTATCATCTTTATATCCACACTAACATTTACTTGTCTGTGGCATTTTGTAGGGTGTGCCGGGCAGAGCTGGTGATCGCGGTATCAAAGGAGAGAAGGTGAGCAGCGCTAGGAGTGTAAACCAAATCAGTTTTGCTGACCACTTTCGACATACACACTTACACATTATAGCAGCGTGTGACAATTACTGATGTGCCACAGGATTTTGAGTCAACCAGACAAATATGCTAGAAATGAATTTATACGTTTCCCCCCAAAATCCTTTAAAGAAACTTAAAATAAAGAAATAAGGGGGAAACTAATGACTTTATTGTGCTGAGCACACTATAATCGCATAGAAAACATGCCTGTGTGTGGGTGTGTATGAACTGTGGGGCTGTAAATGCAGGGCAAACCCACACTGCCCACACGTGGACCATAGCATTTTTGCCTTTTTATGTCCACATTGTCGGCTTGCTGATAAACAGCCCTATTGGCTCACCTGTTGGCTAACCCATACAGACCCGGCCAACATTTTACTCCACCACAGTTTTCTATGGGCAGTCTACAGTGAGGTTGCCCATAGAAAAGCCACACAGGGCTCTGTAAGGGCAAATTTGCTTTAAATGCCACACTTTAAAACAAATCTGACACAGACAGCAAGAACATTGGAGTGTGTTAAAGTGTGCGATAAGAGGATGGAGGCGTGGTGTCTGCACCATTTTATTAAAACAATGCAGGTGTCATGATACGTAGGTCTACATGCTGTTAGATCAAAACCACCAATAACGTGTGAAATGGCATTTGAGCTCTTATGTGCAGATATGAATAGAAGTGTGTTTTATTATTTTGCTTTTGATGTGCCTTGGACACAAAAATTGATTCAGTTTGTAACAGAAGATCGTTCTCAGTGAAGTGAGTGGTCAGAATCTAAAAGTAACAGCTACACTAAAAACAGCACCGATCGTGTGAGGAAGTGATCTTAATGAAGAGATCAGACAAATCTGAATTAGTTTTGGGTATTTTTGTTTTTTTTTAAATATGCACACTTCATGTATAATGTCAACCATCTTAAAAAACACTAACTTTTGCCCAGCTGCCTTGCTGGTTACTTTGGGATCATGTTCTTCGAGGCTAAACATTTACAAACATGGTGACATCTGTTCCAGGGAGATCCAGGTACAAAGGGAGATAAAGGGCAGTCAGGAGAGCCAGGTATGCCGGGAAACCCTGGTCCCCCTGGCAGGAAGGGCCACACGGGGATGATGGGCATGTCAGGACCACAAGGAGAAATCGGAGCCCCAGGGCCACAAGGACCTTCAGGAAACCCTGGCCTTCCAGGGCCCAGGGTGAGTCATAAACCCAGCTGAAATAGACTCTGAAACAATATCGGCCCTACAGCAGTATGCACAGCACCATCAGATGATAATTTTTCATTAGCATCTCTGCTTCTCCAGGGAGAGTCAGTGTCACTGGAACAGATGAGGCGGCTCATCCAGGAGGAGCTGGCCAAACAGCTGGATGGTGAGGCGTTCTTCTGGTACCCTTTGAGATATTTGTTCATTTGGGTTCAATGAGAATAACCTTGTTAGATATATTACGCTAACCTTTCTTTCTGCTTCCAGCCAAATTAGCTTATCTCATGGCTCAGATGCAGCCAGCACATGTGAAAAGCACAGCGGGCCGCCCCGGACCTCCGGGCCCTCCGGGTAAAGATGGCGGCTCTGGACGCCCTGGGCCCCCTGGAGAACCTGGGATGCCCGGACAGAATGGAGGAGAAGGACCCAGGGGACCCATGGGCCCTAAGGGTAGGACAAGATTCAGAGAAATGTTTTTTGGTTTGGTTTGCTGCTATTGGTTTGCTTATGATCGTCGGCTCATTGTTGTTTAGTTGTTTCCAAAACAAACACCCAAATTTTTTTGGGTGTTTGAGCGCTTTCTAAATAAAGCGCTCAATTCCTTTAATTTTAAATATGTTTATATTGTCTATCCTGTAAAATAGTCAGATGTCTATTCATATTAATGTACAGAATTCACCTGCTTGCTGCTACTACTGCACATTCACCCAGTGTATATACTATATGTGTGTATATATATATATAATGTTCTTCCTCTACACCCCCAATTTTTGCACATGTCGAGGAGCGTGTCAGGCTACATTTCACTGTGTGTTATACTTGTATAACTATGCATGTGACAAATAAAGAACCTTGAACCTTCTATAATACCGAATTAGCATTAAAATGAGCATTTTAGCATATTAGCATTCCTAAACACATCCCTGACTAAATTACTCTAAATGACGACACTAGCATGTTTTAGTATTTCCTGCCTGACTTATCAGACCACACAAAATGTGCATCAACCAGCGACTTTATATAAAAGATGGACGGAGCTTCCAGTTGTGAGTGCACAGTGTAAATTTTGTTAACACCTACTGTGCCGCATAGTGGTTGGCCATCTTGCGTTTCCTCTCAGTTTCTATTGCAGTTTGTGCATAAAACATTTTTGTGCATACTATATTTTAACACATTTTAATCATATCAAAACAACAAATCAGGAATACAAAAATGTGGCCAATATTTTGTGATTTTTACATTTTTATCCCCAAACGAACTCAAACACTGGAGTTTATCGAGTGAGCGTAGGCTATTAGATCGCGGTTTACATCTCAATCCCAGGTTTAGAGTTTCCACAACTATTTACCTTGGAGGAGTTTGTCAAACCTGGTGAAATATGAGTCGATGAGTCAGTGAAGCTCACTTCTGTCCGATGACATGATGCTGAGGTGAGCTCTTGAGGTGTTGTAGAAAATGTCTGTCAAAGCACTGCTGCTTTTACTGAAGCTTTCTTTGAAGTGGATCTACAGTTGACAGACGCTTGGTGAATAAACTCTCATATGGTGTAAAAGTGTGAGTTAGCTGGCATAATGTTAGCTTATAACCAGATTAGCATCAGTCTCGGACATTGTCTCCTGCCCCATGCATGAAGCTGTTGGAGAACTGGTGCTCGTTCAGTGACACACTGCTGCATCATGGGTGCACAAAGGAGCATTGCTGCCTTCCTCCCAGCAGCTGTTAGACTTTTTAACCATCACTGCTCCCAACAAAAGCAATACGATGTTTATATTCTAGTTGTTTATATCACTGCTGCTATTTGCACATTTTTTCTATTTTCTGTTTTTAATCATTTTTAAAATTAATATTTAATACTTAATTTAATTAATAATTAATTAAATTAATTAAACTTAATAACTGTACAGTTTTTGTCTCCAATGAGGGACAATAAAGGATATTTCTATTCTACTCTGTTGTATCCTGGCAGGTGTTTAGCCAGCTGGTGAGGTAGATGAAGAGGTGGTGGAGATATATAGTTTAAAACAGTTATTAGTAATATCTAGGTATTTAGAATGTCAGATAATAATTCCTTTGAGGTACACAGAGTTAGACCTGCTGTAACGTGGGTTGTATTCAGTGGTTGAGAGGAGGCTGCAGTCAAAAACTCCCGATGACACTGGTACTAGGAATTCCACAGTGCTTCTCCTTTAATAAACACACTCTTCACCAACCTTACAAGGCCCGGTTGAACGGCTGCAGTCTTGTCATACACGAAGCGAGCAGTGTTCATACAACCCGTAATGTTACTTTGAGTTAGGGAGGTAAAGATATGAGGTCCATCTCAGTCTATACGTCCATGTGCAAGCACGTTTCTCCCACATCGTACAGAGGGCAGTGACACATACTAGTGACATCACTAAACATCACTAAAATCGTTTAGCCTGGAGAAATAGTTTGCTGCTTTATAAGAAAGCCCTCCGCAAAGCCAGAACATCTTACTATTCATCACTGATTGAAGTAAATAAGAACAACCCCAGGTTTCTCTTCAGCACTGTAGCCAGGCTGACAAAAAGTCAGAGCTCTTTTGAGCCAACAATCCCTTTAACGTTAA